TGTGATTTCTATGCAGAAAAATGGGAATGATAAATTAAATAGTGGAAGTAATGGTGAATATGATGTAACAGTGTGATACAATTAACAATATAATGCGGTTCTATGATAATAAATGCATATAATAAATACCAGCAAGGGGAAGGGAGATTGCAGATGCTCCACAGTATGAGGGGAGCCATGGGTGTTCAATGTATAGGGGAATCATGGATGATCATCAGCTTAGGCGGGAAGATGTCACAGGTAATAATCACCTTGGGGGAGAGGGATGGGGGGTGTTTGGCGTACTTGGGAATGAGTATTCACAGGTTAGTATCAGTGGGCAGCAGAGTGACTTAGTGGTTAGCACTTCTGTCTTGCAGGACCATATCTGCAAGTACTTTGCATAATTTCCCTGTGCTTACATGGGTTTCCACCCACACTCCAAAGACATGTTGTGTGTAGTGTGTGTATGCATGTGAGATAGGGACATTAGGTTGTAAGCTCCTTGAAGGGAAGGGATTGATATAAATGGTATGTAAAATGTAGCATACATTGATGGCACTATTTAAATACCTGTAACAATAATAAGAAAGGGGGATATAAGAGATTGCTATATTAAAAAGTGCTGTCACATTGCCATGTTAGAGACTGCTGTCTGTGGGACTGCCTTGTGGACGAGAGACTGACATGGTAATGACTAAAACATCTTACCTGTTGCCATGTAAGAGAGCATGCACTGTTAAAGCAAGAGTGCTTATCATTCTACAGCCATCCTACAGTCCTTCGTAGTTCCTTGTTGCTTAAAAGATAGCGATACCATAGATGCTATTTCTGACTTATATTGGACAGTGCAGGTTCCTGTGCAATCATAATGATCCTGGCTTTACTATATTCAGCCAGTCAATAACCCATACAAAGCATGTGTATATTAGCCAAAAGGTAAGGATGTCATCTGGAAAGGGTAAAAGAAGGGTTAGGAATAGGATGAAATATCTGAATTATGTGTTTTTCAAAGATATAAAAGGCTGGAATTGTCTGCATGCCTAATGGCAGTCTGTGTATAGCTGACTAAACCAGATGGTATGGACAAAACAGGACAGGAGCGCAACTACCAAAAAGGACGTAGATAGGTTTGTAAAGTACAGATTGTTAATGGATCTTTGTGTGTGAAAAATACGTAACACTGTTAGTAGTAGACAAAGGGACTTACGGTTCGAGGCTCCCCCGTGGTCTGTGTGGCGCCCTCCTTTGAGAGGTCCAGGGTCGCAAGAGTGTCCCCGGTGGTTCGACGGGCTGATCAGTTGGGGGTGCGCATCCGTATGGCCGCCCACGAACTGGGCTGGCCGGGCCGAGCCGCGTCGGTCAAAAACGGAAAGAATGGGGAGGAGCTACACGCGGCTAGGGCACGCCGTGCGTCGTTTGTCAGTATCGGTAGCGGTGTAGGTGGTCGGGTGTCTCCAGTGGCTACGCGTTTTGAGGAATCCCTCTTTTTCAAGCCTCAAAGATACTGGAGATCACAGGAGATTTGACTATTTTTAAATGAAACGGGGGAGGAGTGTGGTTTCGTTGAGCCCGGTGATAGGCCGCCGCTCACATGAGGGGGGAGTGGATTGGCAGTCTGGGTCCGCCTTGAGTGCGAACTGTCAGTGCTCGAGCTGCTGTGCATATATGACCTTTGATGACACTTCATTTTTAATTGGGGCTAACGTTTGATTGGAGGGGATCTGATCTATATATCGTATATACCGCCAGATCATCACTATTTAATACAATATTTAATAAAATATTTATGTGTGTGTTTAAAAAATGTGTGTGGGAAACTTTAATTAGGCTCATAGAAAGGGGCGATATTGAACACAGTGTCCCGAGACACTTCACCAAGAACCATTTCAAAAGAATCCGGGACCTCAGGGTATTTGCCATTGAGCAGGTACCCACACATTTATCACCATCCGAAAGATTTCATCGCCTGTGCCACAGAGAGACTTTCTGGATCTACAAATTGAATACCCTACTCCTGTTACCCTGTTGGCATGTCTCGTAATGTCCTGCAGTTGGTTCAAAGTCACCCCTTTATTTTAGACTTTTCAACGAATAAGAGGCAGTCTCCAATACACACCTACAGGGCGTTATTAAGATTTAGATATTTTTTAGAATGTTCGTTTTGGTATGAGTTTTACAACAATACCATTTTGCATATGCATTATGTGCGTATGTTTTTTACACATATATATTTATGTTCATTTGCACGTATATGCACACACATATATATATATATATATGTACATATATATATATGTGTGTGTGTATATATATGTATATATGTACCACCTACACCGCTACCGATACTGACAAACGACGCACGGCGTGCCCTAGCCGCGTGTAGCTCCTCCCCATTCTTTCTGTTTTTGACCGACGTGGCTCGGCCTGGCCAGCCGAGTTCGTGTGCGGCCATACGGATGCGCACCCCCAACTGATCAGCCCGTCGAACCACCGGGGACACTCTTGCGACCCTGGACCTCTCAAAGGAGGGCGCCACACAGACCACCGGGGAGCCTCGAACCGTAAGTCCCTTTGTCTACTACTAACAGTGTTACGTATTTTTCACACACAAAGATCCATTAACAATCTGTACTTTACAAACCTATCTACGTCCTTTTTGGTAGTTGCGCTCCTGTCCTGTTTTGTCCATATCTGCAATTTTGAATAGACAGGGTCCTCTCCCTGTATTGAGGAGCTTCTGCACACCCTTACACAATAGCCACCTAATTGTATTGTGCCCACAGGAGTGCGCTTTATCCTTTTTTGTATTTTCCTGTGTTTAAACCAGATGGTACTTTCTCTGCTAGACGAAAGGGAGAGTCAGCAAGCTGTGTAATCTGATGTCTTTTGCCCTTCTGGTGTTGATCAAAATGCTTTCCTTTTACTGTGACATGACATGTAGTACATAGCCTTTGCCAGTAATAGCTGTTTTAAAGTAGAAATGCAAAGTAAAGTAGGGTTATAACTGGGTATGCACCAATACTGCACCATTTTACTGCACAGAAAATAAGCAGGAGCAAGCATAAGATCACTCCTGGAACTCTTAGAGTTCTAAATACATTTTCAGTTTTGGCAAATGGGGTGATTTAGAAAATGTCAAAATTTGCATCAAAACTAGGCGATAAAATATTTCAAAAGGGATCAGTTACTTAAAAGTGTTTGTTGTGTAAAATTGTGCATACCTTTTGCAACCTGAAAATACAGCACTGCAAAGTTCCTCTAGCGATTTCCTCCCCTCACTACTGCCTGTCTAGTGTTGAAGGATGCCTTATTAAAGATTGACGTCAGTGGTGATAACACTTAATTTTAACAGTGTTTCTGTAACATTTTTTTGCAGTTTTATGGAATGAAACATTTAGAGGAACTTCACTGAAATGGATCCTTTTGGCAACAATGCAAGGCGTATTTGAAGGATACTTCCATCCTTTGCCCAAAATATAATAAATACTTTTTAGGAGGTAGTCTTTTAAAGGATAATTGTAATTTTAGTACATGCATCCTTTAAATGTTAACCTTCCTCTCTCAAAACACCACCCAAGGGTTTTTCCATGGGGAGGGTATGTATTTTCCAGGGGCTGCACAGCAAAGATCTCCATTGAACATGGGAAGTTGCTGCAGCAGGGGGTGGAAACATTTGAAGAATAACTATAATAATGGAAGTAGTTCTCTTATAAAGAAGCATAATGTACTGTAATCCTTAAAAATGGACCATTCATACAAAACAGTATTTCAGTTTTTGGTAGAAGAGAGCTGGTTAAATCAATCTTTGGCTTTATCTTTACAAAAACTGCACAGGTGAGACCTCTGTATTAGAGTTTATTTCTACCTACCTATTACAGCTCATACATGGAAATTGACCTTCTCTTGTGGAAATTTGCATCTATTTAATATTACATAGAATAGAGCAGGATAGGTAAGACTCCATGGCAGGGTTAAAAACACAAGAGTCTGGAAACAAATTCTTCATACAGGAACCTCAAGCAGAAATAAGCCAAAAGATAATGTTTCAGATCACAGTGTGAGGATTAGGCTTTTTAAATGGCTCTCTGAGGATGCTTTTATAGCTTGCATGAACAGGAAGGAAGTGTATTGTATTATTACCAGAGAATGGTCAAAAAGGGCTCTGCAGTTTATGGTATCCAAATCATTGTTTCCCATAATACACAGCTGGCCAGTACCTGGCAGAATAGGGGTTCATTGGGTGCGGTATATAGTAGTTGCCTTGTTGTCTTCCATGATATATAGCCAGGGCTGGATTCCCCACAAGGCCACCGAGGCCATGGCCTCAATGTAATCAGGGAGTAGAGGGGTGGCACAGCTTGTCAGTCTATTAAATAGATTCCACCAAATGTCCATCACCACCGCTGTGATTAATGATCTCAACGCCGCAGGTACAGCACTGTAAGCGAGAGGGGCTTCCACCTGACAGTGCCTCCCCTCCACTCCCCGCTCCAATGCTGCACGGAAACATCACCATCCCCCACATGCAGCGTTAACAACCAGTCACCGCGGAGGTGATAGAGATTCAATGGGATCCACCCAACAGACCAACAGGCTGTCAGTAAGCAAGTAGCTGCCTATCAAGTTAAATCAATGTGTATCACCTGCAGCTTAGCAGCAATTAAAGGCCTCAACGCCACATGCAAAAGATGCCGATACCTCCATGGAGCACCAAAGCAAGGAGCAGAGGGGCAGCACTTCCGGACAAAAGCCTACCCCACTGAAAGCGCCACACCTGCTGTGGCAAGATCCCCAACCACCACAGGTTTGGTGGGAATGTGGGCGCATTGAAGAACCTAGCCTTGGGGCAGCAGAGAGAGTAGATCCGGCCCTGTATATAGCTGGCTGTACCTGGGAGAATAGACAATCATGGAGTGGGGTATACATTAGTTGGACAACCAAAGACTGCAGAACCCATGGCCTAGTTTGTGTTTTTGGTCCAACAGGAACATCTAGACCATATATTTTATCTCTCCTAGTGAACAGTTATGGGGATGATGACGAACTAACCACATCTTCAGACAGTGATGAAGAGGTGTATAAGCAATTTAAAATTTCAGTGTCCCGTTCCCAGAGCTTTCGCTCCACCGTATCTGAAAAGGCAACACAGGCCGGCTCTGAGAGCAAGCAAAAGTTCAACCGCTTGCTATCAAACCATGAGGAGCTGAGCACAGAGGCTTCCGAATGTGAAGGTATCACTAATAGAAAGTAATGCTTTGAATCTGCAGCACTCTCACATTTACAGAGCATGAATTTAATGAAAATTTTTTTATTACATGTAATTGCACTTTTTTCATTGATTAAACCATTTTTTTAAACATTATTTACCTTGGTTTTCATGTTTGCTAAACAATTATGTTAATTGCATTTGCATGAACATGTTACTTTGTTACAGTTGTATTAGATTATTTTAAGTAACTGCTTGTTTATCTTTTCACAATTTTTTTTGGCGATATAAAGCACTGCAGAAGAATTTCGGATTTGCTTATTAGGATAAGAGCTAAATGTCTTTGCTTTTATTCTTTTGATTCGTATTCATCCTTTTGGTTTTTCTACCTAAACTCGGCCCCTAGTTTGATAGACCATAGTTGAGCAGACCATGTCCACTTTTGGTAAACTGTTTTCTGGCTATGGAACCCGAGGCAGCATTTTTTATATGAAATCTATCTATGCTATACCTGCACCCATAGATAAAAATGGTAAAGTAAAGCACATCATGCATATGATGCAGTGGGACTATCCCAGCACTGCAAGGGTTGAGTGCTCATTTTAGTCTAGGTGCAGAAATAACAAAGTTTTACTCTCCCAATTCTCTGGGCCCGGTGGCTGTTAGAGCTCTCCCACCAGCCTGTCTCCTCCTTTACTCCAGCAATGGTATTTACCTTGGCTTCCTCATGTCCTATACATGAATAGACTTGTAGAAGAGGAAGATCACCAGCACTGCAGTAGTAGCATTAATCCTTGTTGCCCTGATGAAGGGACCCTACGTGGCCCTGAAACGTTGGCTATATCATGTTTGTGACATTTCACTTCAATAAATGAGCACAAGGATTAATGCTACTACTGGAGTGATGGTGATCTTCATCTTGTACAAGTTTGATACACACATCTGTGACTATCACTGGGAGCACCATGGTTGTTCAGGTCAAATCGCTGTAAGGATTACACAATTTCTGTATTCTATACATGTATAGGACATGATAACTTACAGGACCTTAGACCGCCAGAGTGGAGGTGGGGAGAGGTTGGAAGGACCAGTCTAGCATCCAGCCGAAGATCGGGTGAGGATATTTTTGTTATTTTAGCACCTAGACCAAAATAAGCCATTAACCCGTGGAGTGTGGGGGTGGCCCCACTGCAAGGGTTAAGAAACCTTTTTCCCAGAGTTCTTCTTTAAGGAGAAAGTGAGGCTATTGACATTGTCACCACTGATAACCCTCCTTAGCCATGCCTATCAGGGACATGTAGTTTTAACAGAGGCTTGCACCTCATAGATAAATGATTTTACACTGAAAACCAGTTAAAAAACAATTGCTCTTAAAAATTAAACAAAAGGGTCTGCCGTGCCAGTGGATGATTATTATTCCTACTGCAAAAAAAAAAAAAACGTGAATTTTTAGAGGGACCCATGCAGGTCAGATGGGTGCTTTGCTGTAGGCCTTTGGTGACAAATCCAGCTGATTGCTGAAAGTAGATGATGTCAAAAGCAGCATGGGGAGATAGATGGACACAAATCGATTTTTAATTCATCTTGGAGTACAGTGGAAATTGAAAACGTTACCAGACTTTTTCTAAATGTGACAAATCCCTTGAATGGTTTTCTTTGGGCAAGCTGAAAATTAGGAGAGGAACTGAAAAACCATTAGAGAAATAGGACTACTTGCATTTTGTCTATGTACTGATGTTGAATTTGTCTTCTTAGATTTGGATGTTATTAGTTACCAGTCATATAATGATGATGATATAATGGTTCACTCTGGTGCGGCATCAGAGGCTGGGGAATTGCAGGATGCAGCTAGACAGGAGGCTGGGTCCATCTCTAGCAAGAACCGAATTACTGTAGAGGGTCAAGAAATGGAGACTGGCTTTAGCAACAATGGCTTTGAAGACCAGAATGGTACAGACAGCTCACCTACATTGAGCCCAGAGGTAAGACACTGGATTCCTCTCCCTATGTCAACATGTAATAGATTATTCAGGGAAATTAATCATATTGGTAGTCAGTTGATACAATCAGTGAGTTATTGAAGGCAGTCAGTGCTTTCTTGACATAATAAAAACCTTTTCTGAGACAAACAAGGATGTTATCATTGGGCTGTCATGACCTGACCTTATAGCAATGCTTTAAGTACTTAACCCACAATTTATTTTCAATTAGTTTTTATTGAACATTTTCGGTTATACATAGCAAAGGGAAAACAGTGTTGATCAACAGATCAGGTCCAGGAAGGACCGAAAGGACAAATCAAGAAGGAAAAAAATATTTGTCTTGCATCGGAGGAGATGAGCTGTTTGTAGATACCTATAGTATTTCCTTTGAGGGAGTTGGAATCTGGAAGCAATATCCTGGAGTCCCCTAATCGACCCACCCTCCATAATGTCAGAAAGGTTGTGTATGCCCCTAGTTTTCCATGTCTGCAGGGAAAGGTCCGGGATCAGAAGTTCCAACGCGGACACCGGTACCGGGATTGGCCTCAGGGGGACATGAGGGAAAACAGCCCCAATCAGTACCCCCCAGGCCCCTACCGAAGCCTGAATGGAGGGTGATAGGTCTCTCGTGGGAGTGGATTCCCAGGAGCGGGACATTAGGTAATTAGGTAGGTCCTTACCAGGGACTGTGGCTCTTTCTATGTTTATCCAATGTTTATCGGCGGGTGCGATAAACCAACTTCTAAGGTGGTTAACCCACAATTTAAATGCGGATAATGACTGCTGACTTTCCTTACCTGTGTACTTGTTCTGGGTCAGTGACTATACTGTGAGTCAGCCATAAAAGCCAGCAAAATAGCACTTGTTTAAATGCTTGTGCTTGAACAGGTTCATAAATAGGCCAGCCAGGGTTTTAAGATATCTCAATGTGCAGGGAGCAATCCTTTGGATTCCAGTAGAGACTTTGGGATTTACTAAAGCCAAATAGGCTGTTCAAGTGAATTTTCCATCAGCTTAGTGAATGTGGTGAAGCTCTGCTGACTTCCATCCTCCATCCATGTGCAACTAAAAAAATGTTTTGATCCAATGTTTATCCATCGATCGTGCATCTAGGGAGAGTGATTTATTCCTAACCGCATGTTATCTTATCACATATGATTAATTGCAGCGGCTGTCATCCGATCATTAACTTGAGAGGGTGACACCTGCCGATTGTAAATGGCAGATTAGGGATTCCTGCTGCAGGCGAATGCAAGTTCCTGATGCAGGAATCACTAATTGCAGCTAGATACTTCCAGTTTTTGGACTCATGGGATAGCTGTGTTCAAAATTGCAAAACAGTTCAAATGGAGGAAATAGTTGAAATAGGGTCTGCTTTTAAGCGTAATCAGTGGATAAGAGGATGAGAAAGGAATGTGGCTTTATTGCTGGGGGTCCCAACAGACAAGCGGCTAAATTTTCCCCCTTCCCCCTTTTTTTTTAATTAAGTGGAATTAGAGAGACCTCTCCCCTCTTCTTTACGGTACCTTATTTCCATAGATTACTAGAATAATATGGGCAGAGGGGCTTTCAAGGAGAGGAAATTAATAAACAAATGTTGTCACTGCTATTTGTGATCTGGATGTATCATTCTCTGTATTTTGGAAAAGTTGAACTGTGTGGTTTTGTTGGTGTTTTTTTTTTTTTAGGTATTAAATAAATAAATATGATAATTAACAAAAATAAATAAATGTAGCAGCTGTCACCCGATCATTAACGGGTGACGGCTGCTGCTTGTAAATGGCAGATTAGGGATTTCTGCTTCAGGAAAATGCAAGTTCCTAATGCAGGTATCCCTAATCGCACCTAAACATATAGGTGTGCATGGGGCAATAACCTGCATGCAAAAATATAAAAAACACTGTACATTTGTACAAAACAGCCGCTGAAATCAGCTCCAATCCTTAGGTATGTTATATTCAACATATGGAATTCCATTGTGGGGCAGTTAGAATTTTGCCCCTGCAAGGCCTTCTTCACACTAATGAGGATTTGGCAATTCTTATTTAAAGGGTGTTTGAATCTCAGTTTAGTTAGATATCATCTTCTTTTCTAGGTCTTGGTAGAAGACACAAGATCTGTTTTCATTTGTGCAGTGATCATGTTTGCGGTGTATATTTTCATTCCATAGTTGGTTTCTTGATTAGCTACCATTTATTATAAAACAACAGATCCTAAAGATATGTGTTCTTGGAAAAGATGATCTCTTAAGCCAAACTTCCCTTTCGTAACATGAACCATTGCACCATTTTTGTTTTAATGAACGAGCTGCCCTCAGATCATGCTAACATATAATCCTATTTAGTCTACTTTTACTAAAGATAACAGAAACCATGGAAACCTTTACATCATTAATCCAATGCCTGCTTAAAACAAAGTACATTCAAACATACTAATATGGCGTAAGTGAGATGATCTTTCGTCAATAAATTATTTTCAGACTTGTTTGTCCTGTCCTGCAGTTTCTTAGAATGTTTTTTTTTTCAGTTGATTCCCATTAAGCCATTAATTGTGAAATTGTGTGAGTACCCACTGATGATTTGATATGCTTTGCAACAGAATCCGCACTAGCTATTTTACATATTCAGTAGTAGTGTACATATTCAAGCACAAAAAGGTTTTCCTTTTGAAATGTATTGCTAAAAGTAGCTGTCAAGTAATGGTAGTATTTATTTGGTGCCCTTATTGGGTGTGCAGTTATAGTGTTGGTGCTGTTAATGTACCAAAAGTTTGATTACAAACATTGTACAAAACTAAAAAAAAAAAATCTGATGTTTGTAATACTGTTTTAGCTTCTAGTATAAAGTAAATGTAAATTAATTATAGGGTGACAAGAAAGGAACACACACACACACATATATTATATATATATATATTCACCGATCAACCATAACATAACATTTGAGCTACAATAGTTCTTCTATTGGATCGGACTACACTGGCCAACCTTCGCTCCCCATGTGCTTCAATGAGCCTTGGCTGCCCATGTCACTAGACATGTGCGATTCGTTTCGTTCCGAATTGAAATTTAGGAAATTCGTAGATTCGGAGCATCCGAATTTCCGAAATATAACATAACCGAAATCATCCGAAAGCATCCGAATCCAAAATTTCGAAACGAAACACATATAGGATCCGAATTCCAAAAAACGAAATCCGAAACAAAACAAATTTTTAGTCGCTGCACATGTCTACCTGTCACAGGTTCACCGGTGTGTCTTGCTTGGACCATTTTTGGTAGGTCCTGACCACTGCAGACTGGGAACATCCCACAAGAGCTACAGTTTTAGTTTTGCTATGACCCAGATGTCTAGCCATCGCAATTTGTCCCTTGTCAAAGTCACTCAAATCCTTACCCTTGCTTATTTTTCCTGCTTCAAACACATCAACTTCAGGGACAAAATGTTCACTTTCTGCCTAATATATCATAATAAATAATAATAATTAATGGCCTCTGCAAGCTGAAACCATTTTTTGAATAAAGCTCTCAGCTTGCATGTAGTCACTATGTCATAGGTAACATACTGTTTACTTTATCAATAACAACTCTGATTGCTTCATGATCATTAGAACCTGTCAGTGACAGCTAGGTTTGAAAGCAGACGGCTTCATAAAGTGTCGACTGGTAGCTTTTTAACTAATTATGTTGATTTATGTTTTCTCATCACGTGGCATCTTGCTAAGGAATGTTTTTAGACACATTGAAGGTGGGAAAGGATTGCATGTTAAAACATTTGTTTTAAAGTCCAACCGAAGTCAAAGAAATAGATATGCAGACAGACATTGTACTATCAACCTTCATTTTCATAGTGTTATAATCCAGTTTCTAGTTACAGCAGTTATCTAGGATGTCTAAATAGGACTTTGCAGTTCAATAAGCACCAAAGCCACCATAGTTAAGACACAATGCAATCCAGAAGCAGCGCTTAGTAACAGAGCTGGTTAGACACAGCCTTTCTCTTCCTTCTATGACTTCTATGAGTCCAGGACTCTTATGCTGAAGAGTGTAAGTGTTACTTAGTTATGCCAACACAAAGCACTGGAGGGGGAAGAGCAGGAAGCAGCATTTTCACAGAGACAAAAAATGTATCTTTAGGCATTTCCAAGAGAAAATCAGTCGCAAACCATGCAAGGGGTACAGGACTATAAAAACTGTAAACTGCCAGTCCATAATGCAAATCAATATGCCACCGCAAGTGAGTCCTTTATCACCATTTACAAAATGTATTTCCTGAACAGAATTATGTGTTTTCTCCTTCAGGAACAAGGGGAAGGTGACCTTGAACCTCATGCAGGCCACGTGCCAATTTCCAAATGTTGTGACCTGGACATTATCCTCGATTACAAAGCTTCCAGCCAAAAGCTGACTATAACAGTTGTGGAAGCCAAAGATATTCCTGATAAGGATCGTAGTGGAGTAAACACGTGGCAAGTCCATATTGTCCTACTGCCAAACAAGAAGCAAAGAGGAAAGACCACTATGCAAAAAGGCTCTCAGCCTGTCTTCAATGAAACCTTCACATTCAACAAGCTTGAAACAGAGGAGCTGGCCAACAATGCCATTCGTTTTCGATTGTATGCTGTACACAAGATGATCCGTGAAAGGATGATGGGTGAAAAGCTCCTTTCACTAAAGAATATCAGATCTGATGTGGAAATCAGAAGGACATTGGTCTTAGAGCCGAGGAGCAACTTAAGTGTAAGTATCAGGGCTTTGGTTGGCTATATTCTTTTTTCCTTGTATGTTAAATTACATGGACAATAAACTAAATTGTGATGGCAAAATTATTGCCATCACAATGTATTATTTTGCTGGAGGACCATGCCAGCAAAATAATAAAGGTGTACATTTATGAAACAACAAGGGGAGTAAGGAGTTACGCTATAAACAGATTATAATATGTGATCTATATCAGTCTCCAGGGTTTCCGTAAACAAATTCAAAAAAGAAGGTTCCCCAAACAAAGAAATCCCTATATTGGAGCTGATCAGGTAAACAGGTGACACAAAATGGTAATGATGTATAAAAAATATATATTTAATGACAATTAAAGAAAAATACACATAGGATCCAATATAACAAGACATCTAAAAACAAGTAAAAAGACATCCCCTTGAAATTCCACTTATAGTAATACGAGTGATAATCTAGAGACCACCTCAGTGGTAAATAGTCACTAATATATACACATTGATGTGTTTTAAAGACGGATACAATGTATCAGAGCGTACTCACAACCTGTGTGGTTTGCGATGAGGGACAGTCCTTGTAGGGTCCCCTGTTTAAACGTGGATGGAGTAAATTCTGTGAGGTGTATCTTAGTGTGGGATTGTGACTCCAGATAGTAGTTATCCTTGTTTGTCTGGAGGCTCCGATGAGCGTGTCACTCCCTGCTCAATTTAATACCCAAAAATAGGAAACAGAAAATAATTGCCCCCTTGCATTAGTAGTCAGTGTAGGTGGGAGGTGAATTTGCCACTGCTTACTTCAAGGAACCCCTAGCAACCTCAGTCAACAACACCCTAGGGTTCACTAGGGTTCACCAGAACCCTGGTTGGGAAAGGCTGTTGTAGCCAGTAGTTGTAAATCACATTCATTTGGACCTGTTCTGTAATGTTGAAGATGTTTTGTTTATCCAAACAGCTTTCTCAACTGTATTTATAATGAAGGATGAATTTTCTAAAAGCCAAAGGGAAAAGCTGCAGTTTGCATTCAGCATGACATTGACATTTGCTTGCTGTTTTTGTGATTTCTTTTCTTTCCAAAACACAGGAACAATAGGACACTGAGAATGGGCTATTTTAAATAATGCCATATCCCTTGTTCCAAATGGCTCGGCAAACAAAAAGCAAAACAGTAATCGGTTGTTTGAGTGTTATGCGGACTGTGCAACTTGACTAATTCCCAAAACCAATATTTCCAAAGTTTTCTGCACAAAGGACTTATAAATCCAGTCCATATAGATCTTTGATAAAGGGCAAGTAAGCAGCAAGTTAAAGCATAAAACTCTCCATATCATAAAGTGAAGGTTATTTTTCAAAATGCACAACGGACTTGAAAATCCAAAGATTCAGTCCATATAGATCTTTATTAAAATGCAAACAAGCAGCAGCAAGTTAAAGCAAAAACTCTCCTTATCATAAAGTGAAAGTTCTTTTTCAAAATGCAATAATTTAAACCAATAATGACTTCAAACTAGAGGATTTTGTGCTTTAACTTGCTTCTACTTGCTTGCACTTTAATAAAGAGCTAGAAAGACTGAATCATTGGAATTTTAAATCATTTTTGGAGACAACTTTGGAAATATTGGAGAATTGATATGCATAATTGATGCCATTAGGCTTTAACTTTCATGCACAAGGCATTTGCTATATGAGCGGTTTAAAGTGCTCTTCATACAAGATAATTTCCAAAATCACAGATATGTTTACTTGAACTGCTAAGATAATATAGCATTGCAATAGTACCTTATACCAAGTCGCAACATCACATTATATCAAGCTGTGACAGCACATTATACAGCTGCAAAAACAACTTTTGGATAGCCTAGAAGGAACATATCATGCCACAATAGCCAATTATATCACCCAGCAAGAGCCTATCAAACCATGGCAGAACTATAGCGCATATTATCAACAACAAACTATATTGCACCACTGTATCTTATGTATCGCAAGACAACATCATAATATATAATGCAGCAGCATATGACATGAATGAAAAACATAGTAACCAGCTGAAGATTTGTCACCATTTAACATTACAAACTGGAAACATTCTAACATGCCAAATGAAGAAATATCAGTCACAGTATCATGTGTGTAAGATTTTACTGGCAGGTTTTCAGAAAACATTCAGATAATAACCTGAGACCCTCAATATAATTCTTACAGAAGAAACGTGACATTCTACTGTATGTATGTATCCTCTTTCTTTCAGAAATTTCACTAAGACTGTAGAAGCTTACTCATGTTTTGCATCTGCTCATAGTGCTTATAAGTCCAGCTTGTTATAACAATGTGTTTATTAATCAACTTAAAGGAGAACTATGGGGTCAGTGTTTTTCCCCATAGTTCTCCTTAGGGTAACGGGAGGACACAAACTAGCGTCCTCCCGTTACCTTAAGCTCAGTATACCGCGAGCTACAGCTCGCGGTATACTGAGACGCCGCAACCGGAGCGGATCCCGACTTAGATGACGGGATCCGCCCAGCTGCGTGAGTGACAGCTGGCTCTACCTATCTAGAGGCAGAGCCAGCTGTACCTGCCCCCTCCCCGTCCGTTCCGCCAGTCAGCGCTGTTAGATCGGAGCGGGGAGAGGGGAATCCAGCCCCTCCCCCTGTCACGGCAGAGAGCCGTGACAGGATCGAGAGGCGAGCGAACCCGGTATGTGTTCGCTCACCTCCCGATCTACTGAGCCGACCTGTGACAGTCTCATTGTCACAGGTCGGCTAGAACTATGAGTTGAGTGAAAAGCACTCACCTCATAGTTCTCCTTTAAACGGTATGTATACCCTAACAATGAACTTCTCTTATTTGGTCTCTTTTGGTTTGTTATATATATCATTAAAAGCATTTTGGTATATTTGTTCGATAATAAAAAAATACTGCAAAGTGGAGATACAGAGATTATAGAGGTAATGTCCAATGGTGACAACATTGATTCTCCATGGATACAGTACGGTGAGTGGATGGTGTCACCCTTGGACAAGAAGTGTGTTATTGGCTGGATCATCAGTTAAAATTAAAGGAAAATAAGCCTGAAAAAGAAAAGTAATGCAGCCACCACATCTAAGTACTGGTAAGCTGCAATTTATTACAGTTTGCTGAATTTCAACCACCAGCCTGATCTCTCGGGTGACGGCATTGACTAACTATGGTCATGATGACCATATTTGGTCAATGTCAGCCAGCATCCCCTGCCCCTTTGTGTACATTCAGCTGCTGGCTACAGAAATGTTTTTTGGGGTTTATTTATTTATTTTGGAATTTTGTACAATATACCCCTGACACATTCACTGATGCTAGGTTCGCACCTAGGCGACACCTCACCGTGCGGCAATCGTGCACGATTCTGCATGGGTTGACGCGCAGTAAGGAGTCGCCAAGGTGTGAACTAATCGCGCTGTGGGTGCCATTATTTTCTATTTTCTGCGGATCGCGCAGTTGTCACCTCATCATGTCCTGGGTGTCGTGCGGTGTAGTGCAGGTGTGAACCTAGCCTTAGGTGGGGGCCGATATCTGGGAATCCCCTTATCGTAAAGGGGGCTACTAACATGATTCCAACAAGTCTACCCACCCCGCAGACATCCTCTTGGGAACCGGATGTGGAATTAAGGCCTTTTTGTCCCTGGCAAGGTACCTTCCCCATGTTGAGGGCATGTAACCTGGTATGGTTCAGAAGAGGGTGGGGGGCATGCACTCGTTGTCCCTCCCTTTCCTGGCCAGCCAGGCTGCATGCCTGGAAAGGGTCTGGTATGGATTTTGGGGGGACCCAATGCAAAAAAAGATAAGAGTGGATCCTGGAATAAAAGTGTGATTTTCCAAAATCCATACCAGACCACATGTCCTAGATAGGAGTCATATACGTATTGTTAAGGGAGATACCATGCAAAGACATGAAACAAATTTAAAACAACAGGCGCCAGTCCCAAAATATATACCAGACCGTTATCCTTAATAAGGGTCTGGTATAGTAAAAAAAAAGTGGAGTCCTCGACAAAATCCATACAAGACCCTTATCCTGGAATGCAGCCTAGGTGGCCAGGATAGGGAGGAGCAGCAAGCTTGACCCCCCTCCCAAACCATACCAGGCCACATCCCCTCAACAATGGGTGGGTACCTCTCTGGCAACCCAAACCCAATGCTCATCCCTAGTAGTGACGACCGGTCCCACAAAGCCCCTCTTGTTGCCAGTATTTGACTGGTCAGGTTACCACCCCTCTCAAAAGCGCAATGAGACTGGAGGTGCACTGGAGATGCTAGAGGGGCTGGATATTCATAACTCATGATATACTCCACATGGGGAAAATGGATAGAGCCCTAATGTGGCCTCCACAAGTGTGGATAGTAATATAAGTGGAATTATGCTTTTTAAGTCACTGTGGAACATGTCGTTGCTACATGACTGATAATAGTCATAACGTATAACCAATATATTGTGCTGTATTTCCACAGAGTGGCGATTCCCAGATGAGTTTTTCTGCAGTCTCACCTACTGATAGTGCTTTGTCCTCACAATCTCTATCACATGGCGGGGTGCCGGAGCTTCTGGTCGGCCTGTCATATAATGCTACCACAGGACGTCTTTCTGTGCAAATGATCAAAGGAAGCCATTTTCGCAACCTTGCCATCAATAGGCCACCTGGTGAGTATACACTTTGTAAATATCAATATTTTATGTAATCAAGAGTCTTTGAAGGGTTTCTGTTTGAGACTACGATTGTAGAGGCGCAGCCATATTTGTGATATGTTAGTTATAAAATCCCTTAAAGTCGAACAACAGGCAAACAGCTCAGTGTAGATGTGGGAGCTGTTTTCCTGGCTAAGGGATTTGTAATTTTGTCTAGTCAGCCCTGAGATATACACAGCCCGGCCACACAGTACAGCAAAGTTGATGACCTGACTCTTCTATACTACACTAAATTAAAACAGCTTGGTTGGACCCCAATATGTAATTGAACAATAACAGTGCAACAGAAGAAGAAGGAACTTACCCCTTTTTTGCTATTTCTTGTTAGTATGTGGATAGCCACATTAAAAAATACACACGACATTGAACAAAAAAACAATTATTTCAGTTGTAAATATCTTTGCCGTGCTTTGTATCACAAGCATAATTTAAGTAGGTTTGCAAAAGAGACAAATAGAAGAATAAAAGTGCACTTTTGATGAGCTATAACTTTAACCTACCTTTGTTACCTCACCGAAGAACAAATTTTGGTTATCATAATGTTACTGAAAACCTGGCTCTGCTCCATTTGCTCATAATAACCAAATCAGATTGGTTTTAACCATGTGCCCTCCCTTCCCATTTGATTTTGCATGGACATAAGGACCTGTGTTGATGAGCTTTGTGGGCGAATGCAGCTTGTTTTTGACATCAGTTTGAGATGCCTCAAAGCAATCAAAATGAACTGTATTTGCAGTTGACCTGCTTCAGATGCTTTCCCATTGAATTGTATGGGGAGAGATTCAGTTCCGAAGCAAACAAGCTTCTAACACTGTCATTTTTGCACAAGCTGCCCTATGTGCATAAGCTCAAGGATGATCCATCTCAGTTGTAGTGGGGAAAGGGGGGGGGGGCTGGCATCTTCCCTTTGGGCACCAGAGGGCCTTGTCCCGGGACTGCAATAAACATTTACCAGATTAAAATGTTTTTTTTTCTGGCCATAATAATAAGAAGAAAGAAAATATATGTAAAACCCCTGTACTCTCCCTTTTAAAATCCACTTGTCAACATGCCTGCTGATATCACAAAGTGCAATTTTAAGATTTAAGTCCTGAGTTTAGTGTCACTTTACCCTTGTGTTCTTTGCCACCACATCTGATGATATTCCAGTATATAATGAAAAATGGAAACACAGCATAGTGAAGATAGGTATACACTTCATAAACTTAGCATGGAGATGAATCAGTGTGTATCTTCCCCAAATAATAAGTATTGATGGAATTATATCTGGTCTACCGACTTTGATCAATGTTGCGTCAGCTACTAGAATACCTATTTAAGATGAAAATATAGAGGTGTCTTAGGATGCGAGAGAGGAAGTGTTTTCACACCCCATGTAACACAATTCTTGCAGAAAGAGTGCAAAATTACACATAGCATTAAAATAGATAAGATAAACAAAAAGACGTAAAAACAAGAGCAGAGAGATCTAAGGACAGTGTGCTCCTGTTCCCTGCCTTCTTAAAGAAAAACTCTGATTTCTGTTGTAACTGGAACAGACCAAGAATGCTAGCTTTCTAAATGTAACCTTTAACCCGTCTATGAAAAAGGGATATTTCCTATATGAGATGGGCATGTTTATAAAGCAGTGGATGTGACAATAACCATGTGTTCACTGCAGGTTAATCTTCTTGTTGCAAGTGTTTTAAATTACAGGGAATGTTTGGTGGATGTCACATTCACTGCTTTATACATATTCTCCATGTATGGCTTGAGCATGTGTGTTAATATCTATGGCATTTATATATGAAGTATTTGGCCAAACAAGACAATCCTAAGTTTTCCTTGCAAGGATCAGCAAGGGGAGCATACTACTACCCACAAATGTGATATTATCCCAGATAAGCTGTTACTGACCACATCAAAAGACAATGTCCACAAGTACCTTTATTAGGGCTATGTTACATTCGTGATGCTGTTTCTGGCAGCAATTCACCAGCGACATTTTGATACATCTAAGCATCTCTTTTCCCCCCAACAGATACTTATGGAAAGCTTTGCCTTTTAAATTCTTCGGGACAGGAACTGTCATGCTGTAAGACGTCAGTACGTAGAGGCCAACCAAACCCAGTCTACAAAGAGACATTTATTTTCCAAGTTGCCCTGTTTCAGCTCACTGACGTCACGCTGATGATTTCAATATACAACCGCCGTGCCATGAAAAGGAAGGAGATGATTGGGTGGATTTCACTGGGTCAGAACAGCAGCGGAGAAGAGGAGCAAATTCATTGGCTGGAAATGAAAGAGTCAAAAGGCCAAGAAGTCTGTCGGTGGCACACACTGCTGGAAGCTTAAAGAACACTCCTCTCTCTAGAATGTGCCGTATAAAAGTAGAGAAGTTTAACTTGTGCTGAAAAATTGCCTTGATTATCTACGTTGTACTTACCATGTCACCCTGTCAAACGGAGGCATATATTTTTACTGCACTATAATTTCTAGCATAAAGTTGTCATAATGGTTTTACACTGTGTCAGATTCCACTACAGATATTACAGGAGCTGAACAGCACAACATTTTAACCTCAGTTATATGTCAACTGCAGTAGGAGTACCTGCCCAAATAACAAAAAAAGAACTATGCTAAGCACAATTTGCATCTAAACTGATCACATCTTACAAACTGAATGCAGTTTAAAAAGACAACAACCTTACCTGTGGGTAGCCTTATCTCTAGGCATGTAGATCTAATAATCCTGCCTGATAGAGATGAATGCAGTGATTTCAGCAACATTTTACTGAAGCAGAAATTCAATGAAAGGGGCCATCAACTAAAGGGCCATGATTGGCACAGGAGTTATTTTAAAGCCCACTTAACCCATCAAAACCACAATAACTACCTTTAAGTAGATTTAAAGCCTTTTAGTTTTGGATATTGTAAACAAAGGTTACGAAAGGAAATAATAGATCTCTCCAAAGTAAGAAAATTCTCCCTTCAAACAGTTGTCATCAGAGAAAGTGTTCTCTATGGAGTAGCTGTAAAAAATAAGTCAAGGCAACTGGACTTGCTGTATTTTTCTTGAAGACGTTTCACTGGTCATCCAAGTGGATGACCAGTGAAACGTCTTCATTTTAACCTCAGTTATATGTCAACTGCAGTAGGAGTACCTGCCCAAATAACAAAAAAAGAACTATGCTAAGCACAATTTGCATCTAAACTGATCACATCTTACAAACTGAATGCAGTTTAAAAAGACAACAACCTTACCTGTGGGTAGCCTTATCTCTAGGCATGTAGATCTAATAATCCTGCCTGATAGAGATGAATGCAGTGATTTCAGCACAGGTAAGGTAGCTGTAAAAAATAAGTAAAGGCAACTGGACTTGCTGTATTTTTCTTGAAGACGTTTCACTGGTCATCCAAGTGGATGACCAGTGAAACGTCTTCAAGAAAAAATACAGCAAGTCCAGTTGCCTTGACCTATTTTTTACAGATATACCATTACCTGGATGAATGAGAACCTTCACAGACGTTCTCTATGGAGATTTCCCTTCTTCTGTTCCAGTGACAAATCAAAATTTTAGATTTTCCCTCACCTTTAGTCCTAGTGACAATGGTCAACCTATTATGATAGGGAGGGTGAATCTCCCTAGCAGGGACATAGACAGCAATAAAACCTTGACACAAGTCCCAACCCTTCACTACTCTATCCAAAACAAAGGCTACAGATGCACTTTAACCTCCCTGGCGGTATTCCCGAGTGTAGCTCGGGGTTACTTTTCCATACCATAAGCGGTAACCCTGAGCGACACTCGGGAAAGCCGCATAGCATTTACTTACCTTGTCCCTCGAGCCGCGCTTTGTTCTGCGGCCGATGCTGGCTTCTGTCTACCGCGTTCCGTCGCTTGCGAACGTACGCGTCGCAGGGGGGGCAGAACCGGCGGGATATAAAAAAAACCACAAAGACGAAAAAAATTTGAAACAAAAATAGACCGAAAAATGACATGAAAAAAATTAAAAATCATACCGCCAGGGAGGTTAAGTTTGCCTTCCCCATTGCCTCCAATTCATTTCACCGAAATCTCCCAATGTTTGCTGACATTTCAGAGAAATGAAAACTCAATTTAGCTAATCTCTACTGCCTGAATATATTGGCATGGGCCTTGCAGAGTCATGTTATTTATAATGTGGATCTACAGTATAGGGGGTGAAGGAGATAGAATTATGGGTCTCTTTTACATATTTTAATGGCTAAGTGCTGCAGCAAGAGTTAACATACCCTATGCTGAAAGGACATAGGAGAGTTGGACAATTGCTTTCTTGTGTGTGAGAGCAGTGGTCCGACTCTCTTATGTTGTTATCAACACATGTTATTTTAACCCTTGCTGCAACACTTAGCAGTATAAAAAAAAAAAAAAAGTCCCATATTTATTGAAGTGGCTGACTGGGTTGGTGCCACCAACAGTTTATTCTCAACTTCCTGTCACAAGATGTGACTTGAAGCTTATGCAGGGCTGAAGACTCCCTCATGTGTTAGGAAGGGGTGTGAGAGTATGTAACACTTCAGGCAATACAGATAGAATACTTACAAGGATCTCAACTGTAGATGTCACACTCACAGGTTTAGTATAAAGAACTAAGAAGCCGTATTACCTCATAAGGCTCAATAGAGTCTATAGCACAAAATGAAGTAGGTTAAATCAATGTAGGCCTTTAACAACTAGAACATAGTGGTTCAATGCAGTGGCATGCATTCAACAGGAATAGCAATGTTGCCTCTTCAGCATTTAGTATGGTATTAACACAATATAAGGTTAGACGTTACGTCAAAGGAGGAAGAACTACAATCCAATTGGTGTGGTTGCTGTTAGCTACAGTACTGCTGAGAGCCTGAAACGAGAGCTGTGCAGAGACTTGAAAATTTTCAGTTCAGGGAATCAGGAGGGGGTAATAGTACCGTATATACTCGGGTATAAGCCATCCCGAATATAAGCCGAGGTACCTAATTTTACCAAATCTGCGCTCCGAGCGGGTTCATCTGGCAGTCTCCGGCCACCTAAATTAGGACCCGGAGACTGCCAGATGACCCCTCTCGGAGCGCTGCCCGCCGGAGCAGCAGTTACGCGACGCTCGGCGAGGTAAGTAAGACCTGCTCCAGACGTTGACTCGAGTATAAGCCGAGGGGGGGCACTTTTCAGCAAAAAAAATGGGCTGAAAAACTCGGCTTATACTCGAGTATATACGGTATCTAGATGAAGAGTGGTCAATGCTTTCAGGATAGAGAGCTGAGCCATGTAGTAGAATAGTCAGCATGCAGAGGGTAGAGAGAGCCTCAGGATGGAGTGTGTGATTACTGCACAGAGTAACCAGAAGGATCTGAGATCTCAGAGGTTCCACTGAACAGAATGGAGAGGGGTTGACAGCAAGGATTGCCCGGCGTCTGTACGATTGCTTGGACGCCGAGCAATTGAGTTTCGCGGCTTAAGCTGGCTAGTGAGGATGAGCAGAGTGACGTCGCGAAAGAGTAGGCGGGGCTGCACACCTGGAACGCCGGAGAGGTAATTCTATTGCAGAGCCATTATTATTATTATTATCCAGGATTTATATACAGTTTGCTTTACAACATAAGGAAGACATTACAGTTACAATACAAGTCAAGACAAAATGGTAAGGCGGGCCCTGCATGGGAGAGCTTACAATCTAAGAGAGAGGGGCAAGTGATACAAGAGGTGGTAGTGTGAGAAAGTGATAGTGCAGTGGTTGGGATGAGGTGGGATAAGCTTCTCTGTAGAGATGAGTCTTTAGGGATTACCTAAAGGCAGTTAGAGTAGGAGATAGATGGACAGGTTGGGGTAAGGAGTTCCAAATGATGGTATCTCTGCAACTCCCATGTCAATAGCAACATCTTATAGCAACAAAAGCATCATTAGTAAACAGTTCTCTATGTATATACAAGCACAATATTTGGTCAGGGTGCTTCAGAACTTAAATTCAAAACTCAACTGGTTTATGAAGCAATGCTAATGGACGGGAAATAACATATCTGCATATAAATAAGGGAATGTTTTCTGTTTTTACACTTACAGTGAAAATGGATTTGAGGAATCTTCACTACTATCATTGACAGTAGTAGTTTATTAACACAGCATACAATACTGCATGTAACACAAATTGTCTTCTACGCAAGTATTTTTAATTACATGGAATGTCTTTGATACAGATTTAGATTGAATTCTATATTTTCAAGCTGCATGAAAAGCAATAAATAAATTGCTTTACAAGTATCGTTGTCTGTGTTTTATCCAAAATTCATCAATTTCTCCTTCCATTTATACTGAGCAGATCAATCATACATTTCTTTATTTGGACATTGGCACATATACAAAGTGGAGCCAATAGTCTGGGTGCAACTCACACTGGTAAACTGTAGTGTAGAAGCAGGGGCCCATGTACAGCCCACCTGACATTCCCCCCCTTGTGTTTCCCTATACACTCCTCCCCCACATGCCTGGTGTCTCCATATACACTGAAGAGGGCTGCCTCTGTGTACACAGCCCAGTGGTCCTTGATGAGAGATTTGGCTGTCACACTGCTATGCCAGCAGAGAGCACTGGAGTGGTTGGCAGAAAGCAGCAGGATTAGGAGATATAAAAAGGTGTGAGACTTCTTGTGGGCTTTAATGAACTTTGACGCACATTTTGAAAATTAAAAACTCTATGGCAGCTGAAAACAATTTCAATGGACTTGCTACTTATCAACTTTTTGAAAAGATTCTCTAAGCAGCTGCTAGGCAACGGCTGTGCTCAGAGATGCTTAGCTCTTGCAGCACTCTGCGACTCACCTTTGCCAACTTTTTTGGTAAGAAATGAATTTTTGAGGCCAGTCTGCATTAAACTTGAAAAGAGCAGTACAGAAGGATCACATGACCTCAGTCCCTAATACTCATGGAAATCTGACTTCTTTAACTGTTTACAAAACAGATATCCCTTCTATTTTAACTCACCCCCTTACCACCTGGGACCCCACTCTCCTCCTCCGCCCCAACTTGCCACCTCTGTGTCTCCATTCCCCTGCTTCTCTCCCACTTACCACCTGTGTCACCACTCTTCATCTCTACCCCCCACTTACCAACTGTGTCCCCATTCTCCATCTCTACCCCCACTTACCACCTGTGTCTCTACTCTCCATCTCTATCCCCCACTTACCAACTGTGTCTCCACTCTCCTTCTCTACCCCCACTTACTACCTGTGTCCCCACTCTCCATCTCTACCCCCACTTACCACCTGTGTCTCCACTCTCCTTCTCTACCCCCACTTACCACCTATGTCCCCACTCTCCATCTCTACCCCCACTTACCACCTGCGTCTCCATTCTCCTTCTCCTCCCCCACTTACCGCCTGTGTCTCCATTTTCCTTCTCCTCCCCCACTTACCACCTGTGTCTCCTTTCTCCTTCTCCTCCCCCACTTACCCCCTATGTATCCATTCTCCTCCCCACTTACTACCTGTGTCCCCACTCTCCATCTCTACCCCCACTTACCACCTATGTCCCCACTCTCCTTCTCCTCCTCCACTTAGCACCTGTATCTTCATTCTCCTTCTCTACCCCCACTTAGCACCTGTGTCTCATTTCTCCTTCTCCTCCCCCACTTACCACCTGTGTCCCTACTTTTCCTCTCTACCCCCACTTAGCACTTTTGCTCCTCCTTCCTGTCCCCACCTAATTCCTGTGTCTTTGCTCTCCATTATCCCTACCCAGCATCTTTTCAGTGTAAGCACCATGCTTTAAACTTCTTGTGGCAAAATACTTTAAAAGCCGTGTCTACCACTAAACATAAAGCTGAACTCCAGACTTCACCTTCAGTCTTGCACAGTAGTACCGGCTCCTTAATAGAAATTGTTTACTCTGATTTCACTGCACAGAGCTTCTCACAATGTACATTATAAGCTGTTGCAAGTCAGAAAGAGGCCCCTGCATTTCATGAACATTCACCATCACCTATTATTTTGCTCCCCAGCCAGACTGTCCCTTGCCTGCCCCTATTATTAATTGAATATCAGTTCTTTCAAGCATGGAGGCTCAGCATCACACGTGGACTTTATTTAGGGCAGTCTACATGTAAATACAGCCATCCCTCTTCTTGCATCAGAGCTATGGGCCTTTGAAAGGAGCACTGAAGAAGGGTGCTGTGATGTTTTCAGGAAGCTATGTACAGCACTCTACTGGCCCCTCCCACCAGCCATGATCTGCCTGCATTGCACAGAGAAGCACAGAGGGATGGCATCACTTGGACTAAGAAGTGTGTGTGTGATGAAAACAGAAGGGTTTGGTTTTAATAAATAAATGAGAGGAGAATGAAGGAACCAGAGAAAGCAAAATATAAGCAGATCAAGGTTCCCTCCCACTGCTCTGCTCTGTGCACAGGCTGTATACAGCACAGTGATGATGTCATCACTACATTTGCAAGGTAATATCTGCTTTTACAAAGGCATGGTGGAGTTAGGCCAGGTTCACACTTGGGCGATCCGTGACCGCGCGACAATTGTGCAGGATACTGCGCAGATTGGCATCACCGAGGATCGTGGTGTGGGTGCCATTATTTTCTAATGGCACGCCAGTCCTGTCGGGCGGATCACGCGGTTTCCCCACCACGACTTCTGTGCAATCGAACACGATCGCGGGCTAAAACAGCCACACGTCGTGTGTACCTTTTTTCTGTGATTGCCGCATGGATGTGATCCCATTGAAATCAATGGGGCCACATGGCAATTCTTGTGTGTAATTTTGCACGATCAATCGCGTGGTCTCGGGATGCTCATCCCGGATCGCCCAGGTCTGCACCAGCCCTGAAGCTTTAAGAGTCTTAACCAGTTGGTGTAAATGTGGATTGGAAAGCTTTACAGCATTAGGAAAAGGAAATAAAAAGTAAATCATGAGGATGTGATCTTAATTGTTTTTTGTCTCTGGAAGGAAGTCATTTATTGTACAGTGTTGCTAACGATGTTTATAAATAAATGATAACAATAACGACACTCAGTGAGTCACTTTCTGTGAGCGGCGCTGCGATGGCTGCACCCAGTTATATACTTGGCAAGCCTGGGAATATCTCGAGAAAAAAGAAAAAAAGTCACTTTCAGCCTTTTGGGTAAAAACACCTCCCACGCTCTCTCTCTCTTTAAATGCCTACGTGTTTTTTTTTTTTCACTAACACCGCATCTGACAGCGATTCACATGATGTTTCCCGCATCGCTTTCGCAGCACCAGCGATCCACCCATCTGAAGATGCTCTCGGGATGCTGTGAGCGTCACCGTTGCCCGGCAACGCTCCCTAACAACGCAGCCTAGCAACTGGGTACCCGCGGCTCCACCTTCAGGACCAATCGGCTGGCGGCGAGGAGGCAACGTGCAGCTGCTGTCAGGCTTGGGAGAAGCGGCTGTCAGGCTGACTCCGGAACCGGGGGACGACGCACGTTGTGAGCGCTGGCTGAGAAGAGCAATGAGAGGTCGGCTCCCTGAGGAGGTGACTGCAGGGTGACCATATTACAGGTATTGGGAGGGGGGTGACAACACCATTTTATTTCCGCTATCAGATCTGCTACTGTGTATAGGGCTCAAAGAGAAAACTTCAGCTGCTGTGCTGCTGCTTTAGGAAGTTTGGCATTGCACCTTGGTCGTGGAACAATGATTGGGCTACATTGCCAATGACATCTCATTGCAACTGAGAGATTTAACTACTTGTTGCCTAAAATCTGAGCAACATCACACTTAGTTCAATGTGCTATTGCCAGCAAGCACTGCCTGTGTAGCCTTGGCATGATACATCTACTGATAACCCTAGTGTGACAGCAGATTAAAACGTTTAACATAGAATAGTATATGATTGCTTGTAAATGGTCTGAACTGGGGAGGAGGGTGGGAGATTAGCAAAATGTAAGCTGATCATCATGCCAGGCTTTCTCCAACTTTTTGACATGGAGGAACTTCAGGAATAACTTTTTATTCTCAGAAAACCCCTGACAATGATTGATATATCTACAGATCATGGTAAGTTAGCATGGTGGTCATTGGGAAGAATGTTCCTTATGTTGGTGGTCATTGTGAAGAATGTTCCTTATGTTGGTGGTCATTGGGAAGAATGTCCCTTACGTTTGTGGTCATTGGGAAGAATGTCCCTTACATTGGTGGTCATTGCAAAGAATGTCCCTTACATTGGTGGGCACAGTGAAGAATATTCCTTACATTGCTGGTCATTGGAAAAAAAGTCCCTTATGTTGATGGTGATTGGGAAGAATGTCCCTTACGTTTGTGGTCATTGGGAAGAAAGTCTCTTATGTTTGTGGTCATTAGGAAGAATGTCCCTTAGGTTGGTGGTCATAGTGAAGAATGTCCTTTACGTTGGTTGTCATTGTAAAGAAATGTCCATTACGTTGGTGGTCATTGTGAAGAATGTCCCTTTGCTTGGAGGTCATTGGGAAAAATTTCCTTTACATTGGTGTTCATTGTAAAGAATGTCCTTTACTTTGGTGGTCATTGTGAGGAGTGTCCCTTACATTGACAGTCATGGTAAAGAATGTCCCTTATGTAATGGTCATTGTGAAGAATGTCCCATACATTGGTGTTCATTGGGAAGAATGTCCCTTACGTTGGTGGTCTTTAGTGGTCAATGGGAAGAATGTCCCTTGAGTTAATTGGTGATACTGAAGAATGTCTCTTAAATTGGTGGTCATTGTAAACAATTTATTTTACATTGGTGGTAACTGTGAAGCATGTCCCATACTTTGGTGGTCATGGTGAAGAATGTCCCTTACATTGGTAAAAATGGTTAAGAATGTTCCTTACATTGGTGGTCATGGTGAAGAATGGCCTTTACATTGGGGGTCATGGTGAAGAATGTTCCTTAGATTGGTGGTTATTGAGAAAAATGAACCTTATAGTAATTGTGAAGAATGTCCCTTACGTTGGTGGTCATTGGGAAGTGTGCCCCTTACATTGGTGTTTCCTTACAGATAGCTAAAAAGATAATTGATGTCAGTGGTGTCAGTGGTTACATATCTAAGATGCCAATATTGCTGAAGGAACCTCTGGCAACCTCTGGAGGAACCCTAGGGTGCCACGGAAATTCTTATTTAGCTACAGCAAACTGAACCGTGATTGATTGCTCCAACTTAGTGCATTCTGCACCTGGTCATTGCAATGTTGGCTCAGTTGAGGTACTAATGTGCTAAATCTTGCTCAGTAGGGCTGTACGGTCTTTGGAGGCACTTAAGATATGAGTTTAGTGGCTGCACTGTTCAGTGTGGCTGTAGTATTTGCTTAAATGTTTCTGGCTTTGGTGCTTATAAAAAAAAATCTGCTTTTCAATACAAGTAATAAAAAAAAGGTTCAGTGTAGGAGAATATTTCTGCCCACTTAGTAAAGTACAGCATAGTTAGTCACAATGTTTTGAAGGGATTGGCTCAGTGTTGAGCCCTGAACATCCTGCAGCATTCTCCAAAGTTGAGACCATTATGCCTGTCATAGAGAATGCAGTTCTTTTTAGTCCTATCACTTCCAGATCTGGATCATGTCTATGAAATTATATCAGCATCAAAAATCTCCATCCTCAATACCAACAAATTTGTTATCCAAATGATTTCTGTAATGAAAGATTTGTGCACAAACAAACGTCAGATGAATATGCATGCTTGCCCCTATGGAGAGGGGAGGAGAGAATGCTATAGAACTTCCTGGCACCAGCCATTTTTTGGGGAAAACAATATCTATTGGCCACAAAAAATGCAACTCTCTCTGAGAAGATTCGCTCAGATGTCGGCCTCAGTCGGGGAATGGCTGTGGACGTAAACAGATGGATCAGGCGGACGTTCACTGAATCTGTGGAAAACTTATAATGACACCTCATAGGCATTTACCCCTGAGGAACTAACAGTCCTAGCATGTCCTATATAGTAACGGTTAATAGGGCATGCTGAGACTTGTAGGCACTTGAATGCTGGATTGTCTTAAGTTTTGCAAATGAGAGCACACAGCATGTCACCCCTAAGGAACTAACAGTCCCAGCATATCCTTCTAATTAAAGGTTAGTGGACCATGCTGAGACTTTAAGCTCCTTAAATGATGAATTTCATTGGGTTAATGGGGCATGCTGAGACGTGTAGCTCCTTGAATGCTGGCTTGTCCTAGGTTTTCCAAATGAGAACACACAGCATTTCACCTCTGATGAACTAACAGTCCCAGCATGTCCTTCTAATTAAAGATCGAAGGATCGTGATGAAAGTTTTAGCTCCTTGAATACTGGATTGCCTTAGGTTTCCCAAATGACAGCTCACAGAATTCCACCTCTGATGAACTAACAGTCACAGCATGTCCTTCCAACCAAAGATTGATGCACCATGCTGAGACTTTTAGCTCCTTGAATGCTGAACGCTCCTTGAATGCTTGGGGTTCCCAAATGACAGATCACAACATTTCCCCTGTGATAAACTAACACTCCCAGCATGTCCTTTCAAGTAAAGGTTGATGAAGCATGCTGAGACTTGTAGCTCCTTGAATGTTGGCTTGCCTTAGGATTCTTGATGGGCAGTTTGTTTATATTGTGTGGGATGCAGTGATCCTTCCCACATTTTATAAGATAACTTACCATCATACAAACTGCATGATGAAATCATACATCGCTTACAGGTTTTTTTGCCTTCCTCTGGATCAACAGTGGGTAACTGTGGGCATAGAGGCTTTTCTTCTCTTTTTTCTCTCTCTCCGTATCTCTATAGGTTGAACTTGATGGACTTGTGTCTTTTTTCAACCTGACTAACTATGTAACTATGTAATCATACCTTTAATGTGTATATACTGTAATTATATTGTACATGCCACATTTTTAATCATAAACTTCCATGTGTCATGACACCTAATGGTATGTTCTACTGACAACTAAAAGTATGTTTTCCCTTTTTTATTAATTTATTCAGTTCAGATATAAACAGTACGTGTAAGACTGAATGTAAAGTATGAGCAGTGCAAATTACACACAGGCTTACTGACTAAATACTGAAGAGCCAGGTCACCCATAGCCAATATTTGAGCTTTTGGTGCATGCTGGTAGGCGGAATTTTCTACCAGCTGAAGTTGAACTTCGGGATAAAAAATATTTTCCAAATTCAAGAGTCGTATGTTTAATTGAATCTTGGTGAGCTTTGTGTATTTCTTCTAGATCTGTACAGTAATCCAGTGTGAAACTTGGAGCTTCCTGTAATAAAGACCACTCACTGCTGCTCTCTCTTCTTGTGCAGGGTGACTGTTCTTGTCTCCGCCCCCTCCTGTAATAAAGACCGCTCACTGCTGCTCTCTCTCCTTGTGCAGGGTGACTTGTTTCCGCCCCCTCCTGCAGTTTTCTGCAGGCAGCCTGTAGTGGGTGGGGTCTGTTGGGTTCCTCCTACAGCTTTACTTTCTGCACAGGCTATATACAGCACAGTGATGATGTCGCTGCAACTTTTACTGGGTTTGTTGACGACAAAGTGGATTGATATCCCTTGTGGTTATTAAGGAATATATGTAAATGAACGTTTGTGTGTCCGGAGTTCAGCTTTGACATCTTTCAGGAGCTCCAGCAATATAATCCACCTGTCTGTGATTCCAAACCTCTCTCTTCCTGCTGGACATAAGTGGGAGTCTCACTCCTCTTTTTATATTCTTTATGGTTTAAAATAAGGGAAACATCCAATAAGAGATGAAAGTCCAGTAGGTGACTCTACCTACTGACATTCAGCCACAACTGAAATACATGTCTTGGGGGTGGGTTAAACATTATGATATATTTAAAAGTGGAAAATCTATTTGATAGTATATATATATATA